TGGATAAGCAATAAATATGCAAAGCATGAGATTCTTTCATATTCATTTTTTTCTCTTTGATATAATATTATTTGCAGGTGACCTGTTGAATGAAATAATAGATATTCTAAGAGGATATCAAAATCAACGATCCTTGATGCCAACTGGACCTGCGCACTTAAAGGAAGAAGAGGCAAAGGTTAAAAATAATAAGATTACCTCTTCACATTTGATAACTCTATCATTATGTTTTTTTAAAAGTAGAAAATATATATGGAGATATAATTCCATTCAATTTGTTACTTTCAAGAAACTCATTAAAATACTTTCATTTAAATCAACTTTCTAAAGAAGTTTTTAAAGCTAGAACAATATATAAATATATAGGCACTGATATAATTCCATTGCACACTCGAAACTCGTGGCCGACATGTATACTTTCGTGGTCTTAGATTTTTTGTGTTTATTTCTTGTTTATATGTGCATTTTCTGTTTGCAAATAATGTATTAAAATTACTTTTCATTTTTAAAAAAATCAAAATTTTAAAACTTGAAGTTTTTAATGCCTCAATCTCTACAAAAAACATTTTATTTTTTAAGAGCGATCTCATACCTATCATTTTTTAATGTAATACAAAAAGAAATCTCAAAATATTTCAAAATCTCAAAATATTTTGATGTTTAGGGAAAACTTTGTTCTGAAGACGAAGAAGATGCCGAGAGACAAACGGTTCATATTGATGGACATAACGAAAAAGTAAGCATGAATATATGATACAGTATATACATTCCATGAACCCGTTTCTATTATAAACGTTTATTGTATAATTGCTTAATCCACATAAAGCTAACAAACCATAAACCCCGGGTAGGATCAGGTGCCTTGGAGGAGAAGGCATATCTTACAGATCGCTTGATATGATTTCCATCGCATTTGCCGAAAACAAGTTTAACTGATCGTTGGTTATTATACACACAAGATCAATGTTTTTTTAAAGCCTGAAGATTTATGCATCGACAAGAAACAGAAGGAAGATGATGAAAAGGATCGGAAACCTCCACAGGTGTATGGAATCAGAAAGGTGAATTCAAAGTTTCTTTTTGTTTATAGTTTTATTGAAATATGTCCCCATCGAGAACATTTCTCTCATATGGCACGGGACAATCGGCTGGTACCTTAAAATCCGAGGTATGTCACTGCTCCTTAGCCTTGGGTGCCAAAGAAATGTCTAAATTTACAGTTTTTCTTCCATAAAGAGTTGATCTTGACCTCACAGACTAGAATCCTATTGCGGAACTTTCAGATCAATCCACTGAAAAAGACTATTATAAACTGAGTTCTTTTGTCACAGAAGGTGCTTGGGAAAAATCGAATTTGCACAATGGACTAATGCAGAGTACAGGTTTTATTTTGCAGCATTCCATCAACAAGTTGCTGCATCTCCATATGGTTGAAAAAATTCTCAAACGAACGCTTAACAACAATCAAACCTTCACATTTAAGTTTTATGAAGCAGAAACCCCTTTCCAAGAAATATCGTCTTAATGATTGCAAGCAGTTGCGCTGTCAAATATGTAAAGAATTTGCAGTGATGTTTTATGATGAAACAAAGTATCTGAATAAAAATCAGTCATTAAACGTACCTTATTTAACATAATTATATTCCATTCTAATTATCTTGGGACCCGTATTACAAAAGAACGTACGACAATGTCCAAATTTTTTTTCTACTTATAACTTGCTTATTTGCATTTAATTCAAAAGGGTTTAAAACTTTTTAAAAGGAATGTAGTAAAAAAATTATTATGGTAATTTTTAACTCATATATTAATTTTGCAAAATTTTACAAAAGACTTAAGTTTTTGGTCTTATTCGGAAGGTATTTTGTAAAACGGGCCTGTTCTTCACTTACCATTAACATGCATTTACATTTAAACGTGCAAGCTTGATATTGTGTATTATTCAGAAAAAAATATTTTATATGCTTAAATATTTCATTTACATTTTACTCAGGTTACAGCACATGAGAAGAGAAATTTCGGTATCTCAAGGAATCCTTTGTGGAAGAACAACATTATACCATATGAAATTGATACGAAATCTTTTGGTAAAGATGATCTTTTCTTTTCACACAACTGAAAATATAATAGTTTCTGTATATACATTGAAAACAACATATCGATGAACCTTTTTAATCAATCACATGACCATCCTGATTAATACAGAATGCACTTTTGTATCAGTTTCGATTCATCGAGGAACTTTTTAGCTCTTTGTGCTTCTAAAATAGAAAAGAGAGCCAAATGGCAATATTTCTTTGAGTAAATGTGACTGTAGAAATGATTTATTGCCTGGAATGCGTTTAACTGATCAAGAACATTAACTACATGTATTTTACCTGAGTACCATTATTGTTCTCAGACGTTTCTGTTTTAATTCTTTTAAGGTCCAAGGTTAAGTAAGGCTGTCGAAATCATCCAGAAAACAGCTTATAATATCTCTAAAACTACCTGCGTGAAATGGAGACTCAAGACAAATGAGGATAAATATTTCATCAAATTTATTGGAAATGCAGATGATGATGACGGGTATGATATTTCGTACTGTTCATCAACGGAATTCTTCTTTTCTACTTATCTTATGAATACAATATATAAAGTTAGCAAGAAAATGTATGAATATAGTATTTTAAGATATGCACGTCGTATTATACATATCACTTTATTAAACAAATACACATAAGTCATATATATCTTAGAAATGTACGAAAAATTGATTGACTGTTTTTATTTGATCTGCATATGAACAATTTGTAAAACAAGGTAAATTGTTAACAAAAAAGTGAATATTGCAGAAAAATTCATGTTGCAATCAGTAAACGATAGAGTGTATTAATCATTTTAATACAGACAAATAAAAATAGTTGTCATTCTTTTACATCTCAAATCATTGGGAAAATTATATGTTTATGGTTCAGAACAATCCAGTTAATACAATTTTGATTTTAAGACAATTGAATTTGACGTACATATAAAATTTGATGAAGAGTAGACAAACTCAAACCGCGGAAACATATTGATTTTTCACATTTTCTTTGAAACATCAATTAAAGCTAAAAATATAAGTATGGCATTTGAAAACACTTTTTAGAAATATCTTAAATCACTGGCGTACCGATCCCCCCATCTTGTGTCTAAAATATACAGAAGATTAATTGAATCAGCTTTTGGGGTGGACTAGGGCCCCTACTGCGACCAAATCTGGTTGCTCCCTGTCCCATATCATTCTCAAGATGTCTGGATCCGCAATCTTAAACATTTAGCTTCTTCTACAGATGCTGGTCTTATGTTGGAAATCTGAACCATGAAGGTGGACAAGAGCTACTACTTAGTGAGGGATGTCTAGATGTAAGTTTCAGTTCATAAATTGGTCTTGATTGTTTCGTCGCCTACATGTGAATTTTCTTTAGACATGTGAATTTTTTTTAGAAAGCATAAAGATTACAAAACAAACGTACAGAAGCCTTGTAACATAGACAGTAAAACACTTTCTATAGTTAAATTTGATCATTTTATATAAAAAAGGAAAAAAGAACCAATATAAATCCGAGTTAACAGAGAGTTAAACTCAGCATGCATTGCATCCAATACAAACAATCTACCTACCCTATGGTAATTCCAGTTTTTGTGAATGTAGTGAATTCAAACCTATTTTGTTACCTTGTGACAAAATAAAGACCTGTTTGCTAACGATACTTGTGATAGTTTTGATTATTTTTCTTTTTTTTTTTCAAATTTCAAGGAACACACCGTACTACATGAAATGCACCATGCAATGGGCGGACTTCACGAACAACAGAGGAACGGAAGACGAACTTTTGTGAAAATCAACTGGGAAAACATCGAAACTGAAAATACAGATCAGTTTGGCATAGATCAACATACTAAAAATAGAGAAGTCTATGACTATAAGTCAATTTTACAATATCAACTGGCGGTAAGAGAAAAAAATATATGCAAATATGAGGATATATTCTATGTAAAGTATTCAAATATAAAACAAAAATATTGAACATCATGTGCTTAACTTCTACAATGTTTTTTTTTTTTTTTTTTTTTTTTTTTTTTTTGTAGGCCTTTACAAAGAATGGTAAAAACACAATGAAGATTCCTGACAGGGATCTGGAGTACCTTATTACAAACCCGAAATATTTGTTTTCTTTCTATGATATGGCGGAGGTTAACAAAGCGTATAGATGTCCTTCAGGTTAGTTCCTCATTGATTTACTAAACATTCTATATTTACCCAATAATTTTAGATACTAGTAGACGTACTTTTTTCCAAGGGGTCATAATTCCGCGGAATCTCAATTTCTGTTTAATCCGCGGCTAGAAAATTACGCGGATATCCAAGACTGTCACTATATGCCTTACATTTATATTAAGTACGCTTGAACAAATTTCCGCGGAAAATTGGTGACCGTGTACATAGCGTAAATTAATACCACGTGGAATAAAATTCTTCTACAGTAATCAATTTATCAATTGATAATTTACATGTCTGAAATAAAACAAATATGATTTTTCAATCATAATAAAGAGCCTATAACATATACGAATGGAAGATTTTTATTTTTTAAGAGGATGTCACATAAAAAAATGAAATATCTGAAAATTCGCCCAGGAGGATATACAGAACCTTTCATTTTATCATGTATTTCAAGGTCTATGTTGTTTTAAAATGTAGGCCTAATATATAAAGTTAGAAAGCGTGACAATTGTTTTTATTTTTATTTTTTTTTCTATATTCAGCAATAATTGGCATAAAATAGTGGAAATATGAAATTTATTTTTTTTATCCCATTCACCCTCAAAGTGGTACAAAAAATTTTCAGAAAAATTGTGTATATCAGTCATTGATATATAGTTATGCTATTGAAATACGTTATTGTAAAAATAGATTATTGTATCAATGGTCGATTCAATGACTCTCATAAAATAAAACTGATCATTCAGTCAAATGTTGATATCACTTATTTTATAGCAAAAAAAAAACATGTATGCTCTACATTTTTGTAATTACTAATATTTTTGTGATATGCATATAGCCAGCTGTAGTTTAACATGTGAGAATGGCGGGTTCAGAATGCAGGCTGTAGAGCATCAGACCTGTCACTGCCATTGTCCTTCCGGGTTAAAGGGCACAACCTGCAAAGTGTTGGACACTGACGAAGGTAAGATAGAATTGTTACATTTTTGCATTCATATTACATGTAAACATCAGTTAAACATAGTAAGTTTCGTTGTTTTTGTTTTTGTTTTTTTCATTTTTTTTTTCAAATTTCGATATTAATAAACACAAAAAAGATATTAGTTGTGATGTATCGTTTTTTTTCCTTATAATCTTCAAGGCAATACTAAAATAAAGATGCGTGAAATATGACAATGCTATTCTGTGATCCACATTCTTGAAGTTGCTTTATAATTTTTGTAATCTACTCGAAATGAATATCCGTAAATCATTCAACTTAAAGGTTACAGAAAATCTACTGAAATTTTACTGAATGGCAGTTCCCTATGACCATGCATTTGCCTGAAAGACAAAATTCCATAATGAGCTAGTTTAACTAGTTTAAAAGTCTAATTTGTTTTGCATATACGCATATATTAATTTTATTTATGTTTAAATATAGGTTGTGGAGAAACGATAACACTTTTGAATGGCGAATCACGTGACATTCATTTGTCGTCATACAACACTGGTAGAATGTGTACATGGCTTGTGAAGGTTGGTTGTTTGCTATTTATACTAGAAATATGTTTACATAGAAATATATATTTTTGCATTAAAGAATTTTTAAGATCCAGTCAAAGTAAATACATAAATAGTGAATTTAGACATAAATAAAAGATTTTTGTGTTCTTTTCTAGTCTTTTCTGACCCCGTTAATATGTGTATTTTTATTTTGCGTCATTTACTTGTAAATAAATGACATTTTTACCTCTTTCATTACTGTTGTTATTTTCTTTTATTTCATCAAAAAATATCTAAGTTGACTTGGCTTCGGTCTTATAATCATAACAAAGGCATATAAATATACATGTATTTTCTTAAGTTTGATAAATATACAGGTTGAACTTAAATTAAACACATTAAACTCAAAGGTCAAATTAATGTTCACAAGTTGATATCTTGGAGATACGCTTTTTGTGTGTAGGTTATATAACGCCCATCTAACATCAAAGCCATTTTCTTGATTCAAAAGTACGGCAAGAAAACATGGATTTTTTGCATTTTTAATCCATAGACTAAAAGTTTCTTTTCGTCATTTTTGAATTTTACATTGTAGGCTGAATCTGATTCTCTAATCAAAGCCATTGTTACAAATATTGATCTTCCCTTTAGCGTGAGAAAGGAATGCTACCATTGGCTGGAAATCCGTGATTACCTCATTGGGGATCCTGGAAAGGAGTATTATTATCTCATAAATATTAAACACTTTATTTATAGTTTACTGTTAACATATTCAATTGATGTTTTAAAGATAAGGCAGCGATTCTTGAACAAACTGATTTTTTATTTGATATTTTTAAGACTGTGTGGGAAATCTACAACTCCAAAAATATATACTCAGGTGAATATAGGCGAGGCTTCACCATTTATGATTCGATTCAACAGCAAGAACAACCATTATCCAGGGACAGGTTTTACAATAAGACTAGAAGCTTTCCAATCAGGTACATTAAAATTGTAAAACTGAGAAATTATATCGCTTTATTCGTAATTCGTTATTTCTATATAAGGAATTCGTTAAATGTATAAAGCTGGGGGGTCAAAGATACTTGCTGTATCTGTGAAATCACAATATCTGAATTCTAGTCCCAACTGTGCAGATTGAACCTACATTTTGTAGCAATTACTATATTTTTTTACATAGAAAAACAAAGTATAACAAAAATTGCAGAGTTTTTGGATTCCAATCCCATTTATAATATAACAAGCAATATACTTTAGTTACTATAACAAGTGTATTCGTAATTAACGAATTTTCGAAACATAGATCTTTAAGTAAATACTTTCATACCTCTTAATTACTGACACCTAATGGTGATTAGAGGGTTTACCCTTGGGGTTGTGAGGTAAAGTTTTGTTTCTTTGCATCCAGGAGAGAGACGAGATCTTTCTATGTGACTGACCCTTTGGACGAAATCGTATAAATCGGGGTTCCTGTCGCAATAGGTTTTGACCTGAAAAAGAATCCCCACTGTTCAATGACCCCTTAAACATTATCCATGTCAAATAAATATATATACTTTTTGTTCTTGTATTGTCGATTGAGAGCTTGATTTTCTATTGTCAGTTCGTTGTTTCAATGTACATGTATATTTTTTTTTTGGATTAAGGAAAAAAAAAATCAAATACAAAATGGCATAAACTATCTATTTGCCCTATATGATTTTCTTGAATGACTCCTGGAAACTACTATTTTGTGAGCCTTAAAAAAATTCCCTTTAAATTTGGGCATCACATGTAAAACATTAATCGTGTAGTATTCAAAGTACATGTACATGCAAAAATGTTCTCTCATTCCATGTTAATTTGATCAATATTTATTATGTAAGTAAGATAACATAAGTGGATTAGACATCACGTATGGTCTATATAAGTCCTCTTCTCTCATTCAATGTGAATTGGGTATAAAGAAAAACCTTTCTTCGCACAAATTCAAACATATAACTTCGTGTTTAATTCTTTTAGTTGTGTAAATTGCTTTAACCCGCTCTTAGTCCTTATATTATTGTTTTTTGTAAATATTGTCAGTGTATATGACATTTAAGGCATTTTGTTATAGGTTGTATGAGTTTTCCGTGTAAGACAGGGTCAACATGCACAGAGGGAGACGGTGGCGGATCATATACCTGCACATGCAAAAACGGTCTGTCGGGAGAAACCTGTGATGAATTTAAAGGTACGTGTAAATTATTCCATATTATAATAAATCCTGCATGAGAAGGTATATAGTGATCGGAATGTCGGCCTGTCTGTCCGTCTCTCCGTCTGTCAGTTCCTTCGTTCGTCTGTTACGCTTTTGAGTACCTATCTCTCATCCACAATTTCTTTATATTAATAAATTAAATGAGACTTTCACAGAAATCTTTGCTAAATAGTGTCAGTGTGTTTTCTTATTTTATTTTTTGATCTTGCACTTACTTCGAGTCATTCAGAGCAAAACTCGGACTTTGCCGTTTTAAATATAAGGGAGGCGGTGGTGTATCATTTAGTGATCCCATTGCTGATAGTGCTCTAGTTAGTTCTGTATTTTGGAAAGTTTTCGTTATGTTTGAATTTGTGTTTTTCTCACATAGGGAAAATTGTAACATAATGAATTTTATACTGGATACTGGATGTAGTTATTGGTCTTAAAAACTGGAAAAAATACATCTTCAATATTGGGTGTCAAATCTACTTTAAATGAATGTTTTTATGAAATTTCATTTCATTGCAGCACTGTCCGAGAATTTCTGCAATTTTGAAGATGACTTTGGGACCTGCTTATTTGACCAAGATAAAGCAGGCAATATTCTGTGGAGCTTTAATACGGTAAATTGATTGGTTGTGTAATAGGAGGCAATGCTTTATCAAGTATTATAGAGAATTGTAAATTAATTCGTAGCAATTAATGATAAAACTGTATCAAAATTGAGGCATATTTAATATCAGGGATTTATATTAAAAAGAAATTATTGTACTGAAAAAAGATCAAAAGTCATTCGAGGAATGTTAAAATACCGTGTCAAAATTGAGGCAAGTTTAATATCATTCATTGTAATACATGTAAATGCATTGGAAAAGTTAGAAATTTATTCAAAAATAACAAATTTTTTTTTGTAAAAAATTAACGAAAAGATGCATGTTTGAAAATCCTATTCTTAATTAAGAGAATTTAAAAGTGTACGATTTTGGAAATGTTTGTTTTTTAAAGAAAATAAATGTATCTAAAATCACCAAAAATGAAAATACGGACCACTATTACCAAGTGTTGTATATAATTGATTGATGTTTTATAGTTTTATTTTGGAGAGCATTGCAACTAATCATTTATTTACAAAAATAAAGTTAAAGATCGTAATGTGATTTCTTGTTTTATGAAACAATACTTTTGGAGCGTCTTTAAAAATGGGTTGCTTTTCTTTCCATGGAAACGGGAAAAAATAAACATAAAAATTCTTTATCCTGAGTCGGAACAGCGCTTGCGAACTTTTTTAAAAGATGGTCTCTTAATTTTGTAATATACAGCGACTTTGTGAAAGTGATGACGGACCATGTTTAACACACGGCACTGATTACCAATTCCTAACCATGACACCCTACTACGACGATGTCCCATATACCACCAATTCAAAAGCCATAATCAAAACAACTGCCAAGTTTGAAGGTTATCTTATGAATATATATATACATCTGCACTGTACTTGATACCTGAACATTTTAATGAACAATTAGTTTTGTTAATGCTTAATTTGGCAAAGTATGAGTTTTCTCAATTCAAAATTCCTTTTAGATATGAAGAAAAAATATGAAAAAGTACTTTTTTATCTAAGCACGCATTTCAGAGTTGAATTAAAGATGCTCCTTTATGTTGAATTTTGTTTGAAAGTGAAACTTGAAGGAACGTTGAAACATTTACGCTGCATTTTTCATCTTCAAATTCTAAATTGGTGAAAAATGGGTTGAATTTTTGTTTGATCAAGATAAAGTTCGGTTTCATTGAACATCCAACGTTGAAAATATATTGCAGCTTCAACATTGTTCAACCTTTGAACACAAAGCATTCAACGGTTATTCTTTTATTTCATGTTGAATATTCACTCTTGTTTCAAAATGAAAAAAAGTTGAGGCTTCGATGTTGAAACAACGTTGAAATTTATATACTGAACGTTGCAATTCATATCCCACGTCCTTTTAACATAGAACCAATGTTGCTTTTTTCTTGATGTATAGTGAATTAAATTTCCCAAATCTTGAGATTTTTTTTTAGCCAATGACCGATGTCTATCGTTCGACTATGCCATTGGTGAATTTTCGGCTGATAAACCACCAGCAGAGATAAACGTATATGTAGACGGAAATGGAAAGAAAATGTACAAGTTATACAATATCAAAACAACGACAAATTATGAATGGCGGAACGCAGCAGTATCTATTGAATCCATGGAGGATCTCGTGGTATGGTAAATTTTATGATTGAAATGTGAAAATAATAATGCAGTATCAAGTCATATACTAACTAGGAACATTTAAGGCCAACATATACACACAATTTAAGTTAATAGCTACCTCTTTAATATAAAGAAACCATTCAATAGCAGTATACCCTTGCATTTGATAAGAGGCATGTTAATTTTTTCTGTAAAATATGTATCTTTATTTACATAAACTTGTAATAAATATATGTTTGTCAGATTACAATAGAGGGCGTTTTGGGAGATCCTTTTCTTGGAATAGATAATATATCCCTTCGTCCAGGATTATGTAAGTTTTTCAAGTTCTTCTATCTCCAACCTCTATTTCAAACACATATTTCCAATTATATCAATAGGTTTTTATGACATCGACAGTGTACATGCATAACTTAATCGTTATAAAAGAAAGAACGCCACGTTTTGTTTAAAACTTCAGGTAGCAAATGTAATCCTAATCCATGCAAAAATGGAGGGACCTGTGAAGAATCGAATTCATACGCAGGGACCGGAACTGAATACAGGTGTACTTGTCCCGAAGGGTTTTCCGGAGAGATGTGTGAAAGTAAGCATACTCTCTATTGAAAAAAAAAATATTTTAAAAGTTTAATATCAAAACGATGAGATATAAAAAACACATCTTACACACAAATATATTATTCGAACTATTGGTACTACTGACGGGAGCTGTTTATAGAATAAAAAAAGTCATGAAATATGAATGTATAGTAAAACTTATTTAATATGGATACCACTGGGGTTTTTTTTCGGATCAGCAGAAAATTTTGAAATATTTGAATAAAGTTGACAGGTGCTTCAAATTTAGGTCATATTACACAAAGTATCTTACTATACATCATCCCAATTAAACAAGTTTCACTGTATTTGCAATGCTCTCTTGATTACTTGTTTGTTGTTATATTTAGTTGATGTGTGTAACAACAATGATTGCCAGAATAGCGGATCCTGTTTGGCGGACAAGAACAATGTACGAGGATATAAATGCATCTGTTTTACAGGTTACAAAGGAGACAACTGCGAAGGTAAACTGTATTTAGCCAACTCCTTCTGAAATCCTTTTGTTGATCCAATATTCACATTGCAAATCAATAATAGGCTTTATTATTATACCTCATTATAAATATTTTAAACAACGCATTATCTGATTGGTTCTAAGTTATCAGGTGTTAGGGCCTAGTGTATTTTTCCGCAATATAGCTCTTGTTCGTTGAACGAAAACTTCCGAGAGAAGTAGACGTCACAATAGCCTGGTTTAAGTCACAAAACTGATGACAATGTGTTGAACGAAGGGTTTTATAGTAACTTTACGTAAAAAAATGAAAGTTACGTTGAGAGCGGTGCTGAATTTGAAAGTTTATGTTTATATCAAAGGTTTTGCTTGTTTCGGTATAATAAACAATTCTTTGCATGAATGTTCGGGAAACATGAAGACTTATTCAGCCAAGAAATATCATATTCCCCTAGGGCGAAGCCCTCGGGGAATACGATTTTTCTTGGCTGTATAAGTCTTCATATTTCCCTCACTATCATGCAATAAATGTATATTATTCGGTGAAAATCCCGTCTAGATAAATTCTTAAACAAAAAGAAACTGTTTTGAAAAAAGAACTTCTTGATTAAGAAACAATGTGAACGCATTCTAAAACCGAAAATACTGAGGTCAAAAATATATCGATTATAGTTTAAGAGCAACATTTGAACAAATTTTTATTTTCAACAATAGGTCGTTCCTGTAGTTTTGAAGTTGAGAAAGACTCAGCTTGCTTTTTGAGTACCGTTAATGACAATTGGTTTAGGAAAATGGTAAGAAGATGCTTGAATCAGAAATATTTTGTATAATTCTATCATTTTCATAATTGAATCAAACATCTTCAATGAAGATTTCTTTTGATGAAGTTACACTGCATAATGAATGATCTTACATTTGTTAATGATAATTAATTATATTGATAATATTAATATTAATAATAAATAACTCTGAATTGAAATGAATTGCATTCTGTAATTGTTAATTGAACATAATTATTTTTTTAATTTTTGTACGAAATTAAAACCATTATTATTTCAGGGAGCAACTTCATCAAGTGGGACAGGGCCTTTATATGCGAATGACGGATATTACTATTTTTATTTCGAAGCATCTCGTCGTTCAGCGGGGGCGTCTTATTACATCTATGATAACAATATTGTATTTGAGAGTAAGTGATATAGGGAATGCTACATATTTACATATTGCACGATGCATTGATTCAGTACACATGCATTTTAATAACTTAAGATGCACAAGTAAACATGCATCAAGAAAGAAAAGGATTCCATTGACATTGATACTCAAAAATGATAGATACAATACTAAATAATATTTCTATAAGCAATATTAATGTTACTCGAAAAACTGACTATGCTGATTTAATGTCGGTATGAAAATTGATGGGTCCCACACACATTTTATTTTAACTGCTTAAATTTTTATAGTACTCGTGATGATCAAAGTTTTCTAGTTTTACGAGAACCAATTTTCCAATCTACTTTTGCCATTTTTTTTTTACTTTTATAGGCAGAATTAATTTTTATTTTGCGACCAATAAAAGAAATAATTACAGATCAAATAAAAACGTGGATACGCAAAGCAAAAAGTTAACCACAATGCAAGCTAGTAGTTATAAAAAAAAATTAGCACACCTCTTTCATTCCCATCCCACATGTATTTTCATCTCCTTTCCCCATCCCTTTTCAAAAAAAAAAATCCAGAAAACGAAGGACGCACTTTATGATAAAAATGCATAAAAGGTCAATGAATCATGTATAAACATGAAATTATAAAAAATATACTGATTAACATAAAAAAAATAATTTCATAGTAAACAATGTGTAAAGATTCCGTCCATATTTTAGAGATTTTATTTCATGTTGGTCCGGAGCCAATTAAATAATTGTTGCATTTGTTAATAATAATTTATTATAAATCTCTTAAAAAATACATATTGAATTCTCTTTTTTATAGCGATTATGAATGACGTAATAAATTTAATTAAGACTGATTTTCTTATCTTTGACAATTCTGATACATCTTAAAAATATTTGTGGTGGGAAAAGACTTATATTTCATCCATTGTGCACATTAAGAGTTTTTCAGTATCTACATACATGTATTATATGGAGTATAGAAAATGCTTTTAACCTAATGAATGTAAATAGACTTTTATAAAACTTAAGAAACACATTATGTATACTGTATACAGGAAAAGTTCGCCCCCGTTTTATGTTTGCTCTTTTCGCCCTTATCACAATTGGATGAAATTAAAACAGAGAAGTAAAAAAAAACCAATACAATTTCTTAAGCTTAAATGTGACTGGGTGAAGTTTTAAAAAGTGCAAACGGGCGAAAATAAGTCTGTATACAATATTACTTCTATTTTTGTAGACGAGACCTACTGCCTCAGCCTGGCCTATCACATGTATGGAAGCGGCATGGGGTCATTAAAAATCTTAACCTACATTGATAAAAAGGGCTTTAAGGAACAATTTTCCCTCAGTGGAAATCAAGGGGATGAATGGCATAACATTGATGTCAATCTGCCTCTTGATAAAGATACCTGGGTAAAACACACTCTCCTTGTATTTACAAAAGACAATATTGTTATTTTTTTTATGAAATGCATACTGTGAAATCACAAATTTTTCCTGGGGTTTAATTTTTGTTGTTTTCGAGGTGTGAAGAGACCCACGAATTCATGTCCACAACGAATTATAAAATTTGACAAACATAACTATATACTAATCAGTTTTACATCCACGAAATCAAATCCGCACAAACCTAGAGGTTTTCCTCAATTATCGAAAATTTAACTCCACGAAAATATATGATTTTATAGTATTTTAATAACACTCGTTTCGTTAGTCCAAAGCAACTTTAATCGAAACCTAACCATTATTAGAATAATTTTAAGCTTATATATTTAATGCAATATAAGTTCAAGACCATGATCACAACCAATGTCGAATTTCTTGGTTTTTAAAACTCACTTTTCCTGTATGAAGAAACGTAACGTACATATGTATGTCGGAAAGGTCATGCATCATAGATATGATATAAAAATTTTATTTTGGCGACGTTTGTCATTCTCTTTTAATCGCTTGTTTTGTAACATGACTTGGTATGCTTATGTCTGCAAGCCTGATTTATTTATATATTCGAGTTATACTATATCAAAACCCCAAAATGTAAATGTTTGAACCTTGAAAAGTACAGTTTGAGTGTAAAAGCTTTGAAATTTATTTCAAATTATCAAATAATTAATTAAGGACCTGCAAAAGTCAATAATATCAAATATTTAAAAAATATATAATTC